TGAGGGTAGCTATGAAATTAGGACTAAAGCCAGTTTTAAATTTATGAATGAGGATGGAGTCAGGAAAAAGCCTAGTCAAAGTTCAAAACTGGAATGGAATAACAGTCATTCAAACCAACCCTCTCCTTCTACAGGTGAGGAAACTGGTCCCAAATTGGTTAATAGACTTTTCAAGGACACCCAAGGGCAGCGAAGACCTAAGCTCCCTTTGCCCTAGTCTCGGGTTTCTGCTGCGCCAGCCTGCTTCTCTCCACCAATCACTAGAGCTGAGACCAAGAGCCTGGGGAGCACTGTGAAGTCCCTGATCCCTGTGAGTGCTCTGCAAAGTCATCCAAGAGCACACAGAATGGACACAGGATGATAGACAATAATACAAGCCAATCCTTCTCTTCTTCACCAAGTAGACACTTTTTCAAATTCTACCTCAGCTGATACTGAGGTTCCCTTTTGGTGAACAGGTGAGGTAGACTTAAAGATTTATAAGGGTCTGAATTCCTCTGGGCTTGTAAGGGAAATTTCCATCTTTGGTCTTATGGTTATCTAAAGTTGAGCTGCCTAGTAAGGTAGCCATTAAATACGGCTATTTTTAAGGTGCTAGGAAAATGTATTTAATAAAATTATATTCAGTTAGTCACACCAGGCGCATTTTAAATGCCCAATAGCCATGTGAAACGCACAGATATCTCTAACACTGCAGCCAGTTGTATTGGAGAATGCAGTTCTCAAGGAAGAGGTTGACTAGGTCGTTTTGGGAGCACTGATGCTTCAAACATATAAAAATTAATGTAGCAGAGGGAGATGAGCCTCATGCTTAGGCCAAGCAGATTAGAAGGAGCAATAGGAGTTCTTTAGTTTCCTTTGCAAGGATTCCATCGATGTTCAAATGAATTTTTCACATTTCACTCCTTTTTTTCTTTTTCTTTTTTTTTCTTCATAAGGTTCCCTCCTACCTGATTCAATGGCTGTGTCTGGGAAAGAGATGAGAGACACACTCACAGTTTAGAGTGAAGGAGGTTTCAATACTTTATGGCAATCTGTAAGGATCCTGGGAAGGCACCAAAGGTAATATCAAATAGAAACTACTAGGCAGTGTTCAAATGTGTTGAAAAGAAAGAAAAAAATGTTGATTGTTTAAAGGGTGAGTGGGAAAACCCCTATTGACCAGACACCTGACTTTAGCTTCCAACAAAAGAATAAAAAATGAGGAGCTAATACATGTTAACTGCAGCTTTGCCCCTGAGGGAGATGCAGCTAAATATTAACTAGGGCAGTGTGTAGTAAATTACAGATTAAGGCACAATTATGCCTCGTATCTCCCCCTTTCAGGGTGAGAGCTTATTGATGTTAGGGCTCAGATAAGGGGAAACACCATGTGACAGGTGGCATCTATTGTGAAAGCATGAAACTTCTGGAGCTTTACAGTGCTGTGTTCCCAGGAGACAAGACCCTAATGTCTTATTTGCCTGCATACCTCCAGCACAGTCATGCTTCCGTGAGCATTTAATAAGTGCAATGGATGAACACAGATGGAGAACCATACCTGAAACAAACCTCTAGTAACAGCCAACGGTGAGTGGGTTGGTGGTGAAAGGGCTGGGTCCAGCTCCGGAAAGCCCATCAGCTGGCACTTTGAACATGTTCTGCAAACCTCCTGCCCTTGTGAGGTGAGCTTTTTTGGTGTTTTCAGATAGACTTTTTGCTGTTGCTGCTAAATAAAGGTCATGAGGTAAAGCTGAGAATCCCCTCACTCTTGACATTTTGAGGGCCATGTTCTTGGTGGCTTTACCCAGACACTTGAAACGTCTGCCCCGTATCTGAAAAAATGCCTGGAGAGGAAATGTGAAAAAATACTTGGTCAGGTGTCCTTCAATGGAAGTTGCAAATACTCAGGTCTGTGTGTAAATATAATACCTCAGGACAGAGGTTCCCAAGTGCTGGCCCGTTAAGCGCCTGCATCAGAATCACCTAAAATGTGAGTTAAAAACACATATTTTCAGACACTGCCCCAGATCCAAGGACTCCACCCTGCAGGAGAACAGCACACTCGCCCTAAGGGATTCTGATGCAGCCTCCAGTTTGGGGCTACCTAGCTGGAACGCCCAACTTCCCACTGATGTGAGGCTAGGTTACAGCTTTTTCTTAGCATCTTTTACCGTGCTGTTTTATGTTCCCCACATCCCTCCCTGTCAAAGGAATGGAATGTAGGGTGGGATTATCTATTATTATTTCACAATTAAGGAAAATGATGCAAAACATCCTAGGTGAGTCAGTGATACTGCCAGGAATCTCAGTTTTACTGGTTAGCTGTTTTCTAGTCAGTTCGGTGTTTCTGTTTACAAGCCCATTGTTTCTGTCAATGCCACTAGCCTTTTAGTAGACAGGCTTCTCTACGGGGCAAGGATGTGTACTCACAAAATAATGAAAAGTATGGTACCTGGCTCCTCACTCCTGCACCTCTGGTGGAAACCAAAACAATTACAGCCCAAACCCTGAGATTCTGGTCCAGATAAAAACTGGGGCTTGGCAGGTCTGAGCCAGCCTCAGTTTGGAGAATTTCCCTAAAGATTAATTTTCCATCAGGCACATGTGGAATTTATGTTTAGTTCTCAAAAGTCCTTCGAGGTCCTGGATTAAAGCAATTCTAGTCCTCCCTGTGCCTGGGGGGTCTTGTTCAGAGTAGGGAGAGGGAGAACTGCTCTCACTCTGAATCTTCCGCTGGTCTAATAAAGAAAGGGCTTTGAGCTCCTAGAAGTTAAGGCATCACCAGAAGTGCTACCGCAGGGAGCGTTACCATTATTTATTGAGTGCTGCCCCCTAGAGGATTAAAAATGGAGTCCTGAGGGCTCTGAACCAGACACCAGACCTCTTCCCAACGGCAGGAAATCAGGCCTTTTACTCAAGTGGACTGATGAGAAGTCTCAGCAGTCGTCCTAAGGACTCCCAGGAAGTAAGTTAGCTCCCTCTTTAGGATACCTCTGAAAAACTGAAATCCATAATGCTGGGAATCAGGTCCAGGAGCAGAACACTGAAACTCACACCTCTCTACCAGACCAAGGACTCTGGAAGAAGCCTGGTAAAGAGACCCTCAACCCTGAGACCCTCCAAGACCAGAAGCCCAGAGCTGTCATTCTTATCGTTTTACAGTTGACTGTACCCTTCACCTAAACTCTGGCTATAATGTTCTCAGAAACAGGATTCTGCCATGTCGGGCACTTGCTAGAATGGTTTAGCAAGCCTGGTAAGTGGTGAGGAGTGGTGATACTAAATGGCCCTCTTCACTACAGCACTGTCACTGTAGATAGTGCTATTTGTCCTTAGGTTAGCATCCTGGCCATAAGAGAAGCCGGAATTTTTGCTTAAGATTCAAAACCCAAGCTGACTCTTATTAAACACTGGGCCGTTTCTTTACAATTGACATGTAAACTGGAAAAAAAATAAATCTGGAGTCTTTCATATTGTGGACTTGCTTCTGAAACCAAGGGAGAAAGCAAGGAACGAAAGAAGGGAGAGGGGGGAAATGAAAGGAAAGAAAAGCAGCCTTTAGTCCAGCCTGGCCATATGCTTGCTGGGAGAACTCACCAGGCCTCTGTTAAATGCCCTTTCAAACCAGGCATCTAAGATTCACAGGGTGATATGCAGCCTGTGGATTTACACAGTGCTGTAAAAACCCCTCCACGGCTTGGCTCCACTATTTGCAAATCACTTCTGATTCAATTTTGTTTTGGTTATCTCAGTGTAAATAACAGTTAAGTGGGAGTTACAGATTTTTCAAACACTAAAAGTGATAAACAAAGCTAATGGCAAATCCAGATAAGGAGGAAAACCACCCAGAAGAATCCACAAGTACAAGCAAAGAAATAAATGGGATCGTCAGATGTGTGTGTATGTGTGTTTCTTGTCACCGAAACTTTATTTTTCTTAATCTTCAGAGTGGCAGAAAAGGTATATGCAGGGTGTTGTTTAGATTGTTCCTGTTAGAGTCTTTATGACAATATAGTAATAGGTGCCTAGCGAAGCAAGACAGTTTGGAATCCACAAAGCCACCCTCAGAAACAAAGATACAAGTGTTTCCCCAACTGTTAGCTTGCAGCTCTGTCTAAACAGTTTTCACGCCTCCATTTAAAAATAGTTAGCATAATGTTGTGTTTTTTTTTTCTCCCCACGGTGCGGCCACATTTCCACGGGGAAAATGTGAACAGATTAGTTACAGAAGCATTTCGAGGAGAAGCTGTCATGTACCTGTACTTTTTTGGAGGGCTGGGGAATCCAATTTAATTACCTGAACAAATTCTTTGAAGTCTTCCCTCTTCTGATAGTCGCAAGTTAGGGGAGGAGGGAGAACTAAATTCTCACCCAGAGAGAAGAGGAGTATGTTTGGGACACAACAAAGGATCTGAGTCATAAACGGAGGGTGTTTGGGGTTTTATTCAGCCGGGGCTGAGCGTGTGTGTGTCGCCGCCACGCACTGCTGCCTGTGCGAACGCATGGCTGAGCTGCCGCTGAGCCGCTGCTCCCTACTGCAAACACCTTACGCCACCCAACTCCTCTTGTAACGCCATAGCGCGTGGCATTGTGTTGGGTTCTACGTGTGTGGCATCGGAGTCGGGAGTGTGGCATCGGGAATTTGGGTGGAACAAGGATTTCCCCCGTTTCCCGCAGAGTCTCTCCCTCGGGAAGGGACGACGCAGCCAAGGGCAGCGCGCCCTGGAAGTCTCGGGGTGCGCTCCCTCTCCGGGGCATTACGCACAGGCGGCTCGGCGCAGTCAGGCGCTAAGGAGCCCAGGGTGGGCGGGAGGTGCCGGGTGGGAGAGGGGCAGCTAGGTGGGAGCTGGCTTAACTTTGATCCGGCCGCGGCCCGGGGGAAGCCGCCGCCGCCCCGCCCGAGTTGGGTGCCGCGGCGCTCGGCTCTGCGCCGCGCGTCTCCGCGGCTGCCTCTTTAATCAGGAACACAGAAGGGGCGGGCCCTGAGCCGGCGCGTAATCGGATAGCTCTGCCGCGGCTCTGACATCCACATGCTGCACGGCCTGAAAAGGCAGGGGGGAGCCGGAGGGGAAGCAGAGAACGCGAGCGAGGCAGCAGCCCGCAGCCCGCCCCCAGCACATCCTCAGACGCGCAGACACACGGCGAGGCGCTGGGCGAGGTGGAGGTGAAGGCGGGCGCGAGCGAACTCGGAGAGGGGCTCGCGCTTTCCAGGCGATCCCAGCCGCCGCCGCACCACCAGCAGCAGCAACAGCAACAGCGGCAGCGGCAGCAGCAGCTTCCTTCCTCAGACTCCCCTCGTGAGTCTGGCCAAGCGGGTGTAGCCGCTGGGGGAGGCTCCCGCTAGGGGAACTCGGCGAGGGCAAGAGCCCGGCGGCTGCCTCCCACTCCGGCTGTGGGGCTGTCCGGCTGTAGGTGCCTCCGCCCGCGTGTCGGTCCCGGGTGCCGGGAGATGTGTGTCAGTTTACGCCTCTGAGATCACACAGCTGCCTGGGAGCCGTGTGATGCCCAAGGCAAGTCTTGGCTTTTATTTTTATTTAAAAAAAAAATTTTTTTTTTACGTTTGGCTTTCGGGAAATATTCGTGATGTTGTAGGATAAAGGAAATGATACTTTGAGGAATTGGAGAAGACATAGATCCGTTTTGTTTTTAAGAGAGGAAACCCGTCCTGTCTTTCCCGGCTTGCTCCCTCTTTGCTGGTTTGAAGAGCGACCCTCCTCCTGACGAGGTGGGGATCCAGCAAGAATAAAGGTGAAGACGGGCCGCCAGGACCCAGGAGGGAGACACTGACCATTAGAAACCTTTGCAGAAGACACTGTAAGGAAGAACATAAGCGTGAGAAAAACACAAAGACTTACAATTACACAAGAAACCTACAAACCCAGCTCTGGAGACAGCCTCCTTCTCCAAAATGGATATGTTTCCTCTCACCTGGGTTTTCTTAGCTCTCTACTTTTCAGGACGCGAAGTGAGAGGCCAACCAGGTAAGCCCCTGAAAGTTTTTTTTTTTTTCTGTGCATTTCAACATGCTTTCCCTTTAAAAGCAACTGCTAATGCAGGGGGGCCACACGGAATGGCACAGAAGGAGGCTCCCTAAATACTGAATAATTTAAAGAGCCACCCCAGCCGGCCCTCCCTACACCACCACTGCTGCTAAAACCCAACTTTTCTCTCCTGCTAGGAGTGTGTGTGTGTGTGTGTGTGTGTGTGTGTGTGTGTGTGTGTGTGTGTGTGTTTTGAAACAGAATTTGGCGGTGTTCAGATGTCACATATGGACTGAATCAAAGGTTTAAAAATACTACAAAGCCTTTGCATTACAGTATTTGGGAATTTTTTTTTCCTGTCTTGAAGCAGAGCACATCTCCCTTGAGTTTCTTCAACCTAGCCAGCGAAATATAAATCATTTGCATTCCCTCCACTTAGCTACATTGAGCAATGTTAACTGAAGGGCTTGGGAAAGTCAAGAGTCTAGTTTTGGTTTTCCAGGGCTGTAGATTCTTTTGCAGAATGTGTGGATACGCCTCACAATCCCAGCGCCCAGGCTGATGGAGCAAGTTGGCTTGCGGTTGAGCTAGGGGCTTGGGGCTGGGCGCTGCTGGCAGTGAAGGCGGTTCATCTCCCCTGCTCTTTTCCTGCATCCATGTGTTTTCTGGGAAAGTAAATCATATGTTCTTTTAAAAATTATTATTAGATAAAACAAACTGCGTGGCCCTCCAAGGTCTTTCACTCTTGTGAAGTGGTTAGAAACTTTTGAGTGGAATTTGTTCTCAACCACTGCCAAAAGTGGTGTGTGGACTGAGTGCGGAGATAAGCACCGCAAGGCCCAGAACGTCTGGGGCCAGTATTTGCGTGGGGGAGAGGGAGAGGTTTCTGGCACGGGGTGCACTCCCTGAGAGGGGATCTCGGATTTCAGGGAATCCGGTGGGGCTTCTCCTTCCTTCCCCCCACAACTCTCCCGGGTGAGCCTCTCTCCCCTCTGAGAAGGGTCTGAAATCTGACAAAACTCTTAGCAGCTGCTACAGGTGATTGAGAATGGGGACGGCATCTGTGGAGGGAAGTGGGACGAGGGAGCAGAAAAAGCCTTCGTGAAATGCCCTTACCCGGAGGTACTTGCAAGGCTATGGCCGCCCCGGCTGAGCTAACCCCCTTGCAGCCTCCTGGCCACCTCCCCCATCACCACTGGCTAGTGAGTCCAGAGGGAGGGAGCCTGCGTTGACTAAAGGGGAAGCTTTGCGCCTGGTACGCGGGTTCTCACCTCCGAACAGACGCACACACACTCCATTTTAAGCTTGGATATTTATTTGAGGGGGAGGAAGGTTCACGAATGCCCTTGCTATCCAAATTCACACGTTTGCTGCACCTTCTCTGCCATAACTGGTCTTCAGGGCAACTGCAGATCGTATCAAAGAGATGGTTGCAGGTCCCACTTGGGCAGATTTTCTGTGTCTCCCCATTCCCTCTTGCCTTAATTCTAAGTTACCAGTTTGAAGCGAAATTAAATTACCTCCCACAGACCCGGGGGCTGCATAAATTATGTATGTTTGTGTGATTTGCGCTGTGTGTGTGTGTGTGTGTGTGTGCGTGTGTGTGTGTGTGTCCGCGCGCGTGTACGCGCGGGAGAGCGCGTTGAGGATGCCCACGGTATATTATGTATTCAGGCACGGTCTCTGGTAAGGCCCCGGTGCGCGAGTGCGCGCATAGTGGCGCGCGCACGCGCGGGGACACACACACACACAAACTTAAGGTTCCGTGTGCTGTGCAGAGCAGGAGGGGTCTTGAACACTCAGGGGCCATCGCCTCCTACCCCAGATGTTCTCACATCTGTCCCCGAGCGCTGCGTAATGTACGTGTGTGCGCGACACCCGCTCGGACCCACTCCCGCTCCGCCACCTGCCTCCCGCGCTCTCCGCAGAGCCCCCTCCCATCCTAGCCCCGGGCCGCGCTGCGTCACTTCTAGCGAAGCCCAGAGGCGCGGAGCAGGTCACTCAGTACGAGGCTGCAGGATGCCTCCGTCGCGGGGTGGGTCCTCCGGGTGGGACGCGGAGCTGGGACCTACCCAGGGTAGATATTCTTCAGCACTCCGAAAAGGCGCTCTCAAGCCAAGGGCTGATGAGGCTTTCTGTCGGAGAGGCCGACTGGCACCCGGGCAGCTGGCGGCGGGTGGCAAAGGGCGAGGCCCAACTAGACCTCTGACTCACCCGGTTTCGCGCCGGCCGGAGGGGGCCGGATCCTGCCGGCGGCGGCAGGAACCCATTCCGAGGAGTCAAGGCACGGGAGGGGGTGTGTGGAAGGCATAAGCAGGGAAGCAATTGAGCAAATAACCCCGCGGCGCGCGGCCCCTGCGACTGGCGGGCGGCAGGGAGGCCGCGTGGGCGTAGCGCACTAGGCTCCCCTGCTCCTTGCCACGCCGCCTGGCCAGATCGCAGCGCCGCCGCCTTTCTGCCTTCCTCCTGCCAGGGCCGGGGAAGTCGGGGCTGCTCGGCGGGCCCTGCCTGGATCAACCCCTCCTGCCTCACGCGTTCCACTCTGCGCTGCATGCCCTGCCCCCTCCCCTCGCCGCCGCTGCGCCTGGAGAGCCGGCTCTGAAGGGCTGAGGCCCGGGGCCCGCGGAGCTGGGGATCTGAGCTCTGGCCGAGCTGGGTGGCGGGAAGCTGAGGTGGGATTTCAGAGCCGAGGGCGGAGAGGGACGGAAAGGAGCCAGCTGGAGCCGCGAGAATGCGCGCAACTTGCACCGCCTCCAGTAGCGGTGCGCGCCAAGCGCCCTCGCGTGCGCCGGAACAGGTGAAGAGTACGCGGCGCGCGGGCATCCACGTGGTGGGGACGTGATGGCCCCTAGACCCCTCAACCCCCCCCGCGTGTCGGTCCCGGGTGCCGGGAGATGTGTGTCAGTTTACGCCTCTGAGATCACACAGCTGCCTGGGAGCCGTGTGATGCCCAAGGCAAGTNCCCCGCCAGCGCCATCTCTAACGCTGCATCGATTTGTTTGGGCTACACAGCAGAAACAGAGCCGAGCGATCCATAAACATTCTATTAGGCAAAAATATTCCCAGCGAAAGCAAAACCAAGGCTCAACCCTGGGCAAAGTTGGCCGCCTCCAACAACTCCACCCTTGTCCCCTAGTCCTCCAGACTTAGGACACCCCCAGGGAGAAGCTTCAGGCATTTCCTCGACGTTGCCCGTAGCCATAAAGTTAAGTCGCGGCTGCAGATCCCTGTTTGGAAGAAACCCCTATAGTCGCCGGCCAGTTCTGCCTCCCCTCCTCCGCCGCCTTGCTCTTTGCTTTTCCACGTGAGAAAAAGAAATATTCACGGCCAAAGCTTCATTTTCACTGATTGATTTCTTTTTAATATCAACATAAGTTAATGGAGGCAAAGCAAGCTGTGATTAAACGGCTGTCCCCAATCTTCGCCTGGGGCTGACTGCACTGCAGTTCTTCCCACCGGGTCCTGGGCGCCGGCTGCTGGGGGGCGGGCCGGGGGGGGCACCCGCAGAGCAAACGTCCTGGGGCTGGCGGAGGACAGCAGTGTAAAGAACAGATCGACGCCCTGAGTCAACGGAGTGTGGGGGTGGGAATCGGCCTTCCAGGCCAAGCTTAGGGGATCCGGCTCATCCGTGTCGCCGCTTCTGACGCTCGGGTTGAATTCGTCTGGAAGGAGAGGGGATCGACGCTCTGGTTTATTGGCGTGTGCTCACTGCTCGCCTCACCCCCTCCCTCCGCCTCCCTCCCTTTCGGTTTCAGACAAGAGAGCCCCCTGGCGCTAGCCATTCCCTGTCAGCGCCTGGCCAAGAAACTACCCTTTGCTAGAGTTAATCGTGGTCCGCGGGGGACTGCGTTATGCCCAGGAACTCGTTCAGGCCCTGATAATGGGTTTCTTCAGATGGTGGCAACTCCCAGCCCCAACGTCCACACAGCTTGGGACCAAAAGAACCTGGACCCTATAACTAACCCTACTCCCCGACCCCCGGCTATGCCTGGAGAGCTTTGATCTGTGCTAGGGTTTTAACACCATTGCCATGGACACAGGCAGCCGCGGTCAATTCAACCTTCAGTCTGAAAGGGATGATCAGATAAGAGGTGTAAATTGGCTGTGGTAGGCAGATCTGGGTTCAAACAAATCCTGAAAGAAGCAATGACCGTCTAGGCGCCTGATAAGGGTTTGAAGAGGGTTCCTTTTTTAGCCTGTCTCCCCCAAAATGCGGGGTAATTATGAGCAGGCCTACTAATTTGCAACAAAACTATAAACTCCTAGATTCTACACACACAGTGGGCTGTAGGCTCTGGGGAGTGGTGCCATGCCCACATTCAGTGGGTGCCCAGTAAACTTTACCCCATAAACTGCCACTGGAGGTAATGAAACTGTTGCCTGTTGCCAACGGATCACGCAGTGCAAAACAGTGGGAAGCTCCCCACGAGAGCTTCAGGGCAAGCAAGCCCCTTCTTGTCCAAGACGTGCCTGGTAGAATTGTGAATGCCCAGGCAGCACCGCAGGTTTGGACTTTCACATCATTCTGTGAAGCCCTCAGAGTAAGCCACAGAGCACCCAAATGACAATGAAAAGTTGGAAGGCTGCAGTGACTGAAACCCCAGGTTATCCACATAGAATTCCTGCTGTCTACCAAATGGCTTTCATTCCCTGCTATTGAAGTAAAGTCTACACTGGCAATGAAAGGCCAGTTCCTATCTTCGTGGTGTAGGAAAAACTAGGAGCCCAAATGCCAATTCAGATGCATTGAATTGAGAGGTCTGAATGCAATTAACAGTTGGGGGGCGGGAGAAGCCCTGGGGAGGGGGGATCAGTGGGGAGAGACCCCATGGACTAGATGCTTCTGAGTACCCTGCCTGGTCTTTTTCATTTCACTCAACTCCTTAAAGCAAGAGAATGAGCTGACTTTGCGTGACCCAAGTGTGGGACAAGTCTGAGTTGACAGAATTCAGAGCCAGGTTCATTGGTAAAGAGTTTTCGGAATATACTCCCCAAAAGTC